GGTCTGAAACTATTTTCAAGAAGAAATTGTGAAAAGTTGAATAACTTGTAAGGTTGGTTCCTTGTGTTGTCTTCCTACATGGTGGAAAGAGAGCTCTCTGCAGTCTATAAAGGCACGAATTCTATTCCTGTGGTCTTTACCCTCATGACCTAATTGATCCTCAAATTATGATCAGAGTAATGGTAGAATTTTAACATATACATTTTGGAGATACATGCATTTAGTCAGTAATATCTAAATATAGTGTAATATCCTGCAGATTATCTGATAACAAAGAATGCAGTGTTAGTGACTTTTTCTCATGATTGAGAAAAAATAGCAAGACAAGTGACTGTCTAGGGAATTATCATACAGAGACATAAAGCCCTTCAATGTAATGGTGTTTCACATTTTTTAATGTGGGAAAAACCTCTCTCCTTTCACTAATTCCTCCCTTCCAGAATTCCCAACTGTCTTACCAAATCTGCCGTCGATGTTAAAGATGTGTGGCTGATTGCTGCTGTGTAGAACAGTAAAAGCCTAACTGTATTTCAAGGCAGCTACCTAGTTTGTCAGCAGCCTGAGAAAGGGGTTCAGGGAGAGAGTCCACCAGGAGATAAAAAAGAAAAACCTAGCCTGTAGGGCAGTGACTCTAGGCAACAACAGTGACTTGTAGCTCTGGTGATGCCGGTGACTGTAAAGCCACAGGCAATCGGTTTTTTGTGAATTCATACCCCAAACATTGGATGTCAAGTATAGCATGAATAATTAAAACCCAGAGACAGATATTGGGGTTCAACATGAAGATCAGGCTGCTGGGATTAAAGGTGTCTGTTACTACTGCCTGGCCTGTTTGACTGACTAGTGTGGCTCTTTTGCATTCTGGTCTTCTCAGGCAGCTTTATTTATTAAAAAGCAAACGAAATATCACTACATATTCCATCATGGCTAGGTAGGTAGAATACAAAGAATCCTCCCAGTAGAATATGATACTTTTCACCTTTCTTAACAGTAGGAGCCATGACTTTTCATTTCCTTAAAAAATGTCCGTTTTCATAGTGCCTGGAACTAAAAAGCAGATGAAGCAAGTGAAGGTTTGGAGATGGATCGGTGCAGGAATGAATGAAAATAAGGTAGAAGAAAGTGTATTAACATTAAAAAGATAAAAACCCAAACAAACAGGAAGGAGAGAGAAGAAGCAAAGTGCTATAGAGCTTATTCTTTATTATTTCAGACACCCAATTTGATTGGAGTTTCAACTCAAAATAAGAAAAACAAAACAAGCTCCCCACCCCCAAACTAACAACAACACAATCCCTCCGAACAAAACCCTCAAAACGCTGAGCAGGTAAAGCTACTTAAGCCCCAGCTGTGGTCAATAGATAAGACAATCTCTAAGTTCCTGCCCAACGGTTTGACTTGCTATTTCAGGCTTTCCACACAACCAGAAAATGTAGGCTTTATTGAAGACATTGAAAAAAAAAAGTAGGGGTTGGAGAGATGGCTCAGGGATTAAGAGCACTGGCTGCTCTTCCAGAGGTCCTGGGTTCAATTTCCAGCAACCACATGGCAGCTCACCACTGTCTGTAACTCCAGTTTCAGGGGATCTGACACCCTCACAGACATACATACACACAAAACACTGGTGCACATAAAATAAAAACAAATAAACCTTAAACCCAAAACTAAGAAAGAACATAAAACTAGTCAATATTGAAGAACATAATTCTTTTCAACAATAAAAGCTACCACTGCTGGGCCTGTATGACTGACTAGTGTGGCTGTTTTGCATTCTGGTCTTCTCAGGCAGCTTTATTTATTAAAAAAACAATGAATAGGCTGAGAGTGAAAATAATACCGGAGTGCATTTCTTCATTTAATTTTTTTTTTTTTTTTTTGAGACAGGGTTTCTCTGTGGCTTTGGAGCCTGTCCTGGAACTAGCTCTGTAGACCAGGCTGGTCTCAAACTCACAGAGATCCGCCTGCCTCTGCCTCCCGAGGGCTGGGATTAAAGGTGTGTGCCACCATCGCCCGACTAAAAAAATTTTAAATTAATTATCTTTTGCTTAAACAGGTTTAACAATAAAATTTTACCAGATTACAAAATTTAAAGTGTGTGGTTTATTAGAGTCGATTTCTAACTGAGACTACGGGAAGGCAAATCAAAGTGTTAAATTGACTTAAAAATGTGTTTCCAAGGAAAATTAAAAAAGAAAACCAAGAACAAATGTGTGATAGACATTTGTCTTTACACTTACTCAGAGTATTTTATTTTGATTCCAGGATTTTTGTGACCTTAAACTCTGTGTGTTAACTCTAATTGTATCTGATAATAACACTTCACAAAAACAAAACAAAAATAAAAAAAATAAAGCCTTCCAGTTGCCTTTGTATGATTTTCAACTTTTTTTTTTTTTTTTTTTTTTTTTTTTTTTTTTTTCTTTGTGAAACAGTCCTGGCTATCTTGGAACTTACTCTGTAGACCAGGCTGACCTCGAACTCACAGAAATCCACCTGTCTCTGCCTTCCAAGTGCTGGGACTAAAGGGTGTGCACCATTACTGCCTGGTTGATCTTTAGCTTTTGAAGATTGTTTTTACTTTTCCTTTGGAGACAGTCTCAGTCCTGCAGCCTGGAGCTCTATGTAGCCCTGGAATTGATATAGCCACATCTGCTTCTCTACAAGAGCTGGGGTCGAGGATTTGGGGTCGAGGATGCGCCTTCATGCTTGATTGTGTGTTAGATTCTCAAGTCTTTAATAGTTTCAGGAGAAATTGCAAATGGTGTTTTACAAAACTCAGTTCCTGTTTACTCTTTTGCAACATCCTAGTGATGTAACTGGCACACAGAGTATTCTGTTATTCTTTTCTTTTCTTTATTTTAAATGTTACTTAACGTGTTTATGTGTAGGCATGCAGGTGGAGGTCAGAGGATAACTTTTGGGAGTCTGTTCTCTCCTTCTGCCATGTAGGTTCTGAGGTTCAAATTCAGGTCTTCAGGCTTGGCAGTGTGTGCCTTTAACTGTTGAGCCATCTCTCCTACCTTAGTTTGTGTTAGTTTTGAGAGGTCTCATGTGGTTCGGGGTGGCCTCAAAGTCCCTAGGTAGCAGAATTTCTGACCCCCCCCCCCCCACAATAATGTCGAGTGCTGAGATTTTCAGACACAAGCTGTCATGCTCACTTTTGTGAGCTGCTGGGGATCAAACCTCAAACCTACAGCTTCACCCAAGCTAGGCAAGCGCTCTATCAACTGAGTTACAGCCTTAGTCCAGCTATTTCTTTTAGATTGAAGTAAATAGCAGAACCCCCTTGGGCCAAATCCTAGCCATGAAGTGAATTAAGATGCTGTTTCACCCTCCTTAATAGAATTCAGAGCTATTTCTGCCTTATAGGAATCCAAAAAGCCTCACAAGGCAAAGAGGAAAAGTTAAAGTCAGTCGCTCAAATACACCAGCTATCAAAAACATGTCTTATTTTCCTGTGAGTTCGAGACCAGCCTGGTCTACAGAGTGAGTTCCAGGACAGTCAGAGCTACACACAGAGAAACCTTGTCTCAAAAAAACAAAACAAAGTCTTATTTTACTTTTCAACCTAAGTGTAAGGTAGGGAGTTGACTATCCACAACCGGTCTCTGCTTATGAAATGCTGTAAACAAGAGGTTCTCAACCTCTTTGTGGGTCAAACTTTACAGGGGTTGCCTGTCCGAAAAACACGGATATTTACAATATGAACGGTGACAGTAACAAAATTACAGTCATGAAGTAGCAACAAAAATAACTGTATGGCTGGGGGGGGGGGTCTCCACAACATGAGTATTAAAGGGTCTCAGCATTAGGAAGGTTGAGAACCAGTGCCCTAAGCTCCAGTTGGATTTCTTTCCCCTGAAGTGCTTTCCTAGAACAAACCAGCACTTAACACCACTTTGATGTCTGAAGCTAGAAGATGAGGAAACTAGGAGACCTGGCAATTTTCATCCCGAAGAAAGATGGCTCTTCTAGGTTCTTAAGACAAAACAAAGCAAAAAATCCCTTCATGAAGACTGACCATTTTGTCCATTGACATCGACAGAAATTGAAACTGCAAAACTGAAGGAGGCATACACATTTTTTAAAAAATGATAATGCGGTTGATTTTGCCTATTGTGTAACAGACTCACGTGAAATTTTTATTACAAACATTTTCTTTGTAATGTTATGGCTCCGTTTATACCAACAATACAATCTTTTTTTTTTTTAGTGCAGAGAAAGTGTACATTCCAGTGATAATGTGAAAATATTAATTTCTCTACACCATACGTTCGGGATAACATCCCTCTTTTCCGTACACACACACACACACACACACACACACACACACACACACACACACACACACACACACACACGGGCACACATTTCCAGCCTGCTGCTCGCCACAGGGGAAATTTGAGGGTAGCAAATTTCCTAGGACTGAAGACTCTCCAGACTGCTTGAGCTGTGCGGTGCCCAATAGTAGTAACCGGCTCTGAGTCTTTTTTTTTTTTTTTTTTTCTTTTCTTTTCTTTTTTAAGCAGTGGGAAGTATTAAAAGTGCAAGTGAAAACACCCCAGGCTTCCAGATGCCTCTGAGATGAAAACCAAGGTTAGAAGTCAGTGGCAGGGCGGCGTCTCCTGCCATGTTTCAAAGCACACTGCACTGTCCCGGGGCAACGTTTCTGCATTGCCCTCGTGGGAATTACAGGGGGGACTCAACCCTCGCCCGCAGACCCTGGAGTGGCCACTGGAGGGGACGCTAGGGAGCCCCCTCCAGCCCCCGCGCGCAGGTGGGCGGGCGGGCGCGCGCAGAGGGATGCGGGGCGCCGAGGCGAGTACCGGCGCCGCTCCCGCCACCCCGCCGCCCAGCCCGCCAGGGGGAGCGAGTGCGCTCGGAGGCCGGCTGCGGGGACTGCGGGGCCTGCGCGGGCGGCGGCCGGCGACTGCGCCCCGCCGCGGCGCACCCGCGTCCCCACCCCCTCGGCACCCGCCCGCCCCCGGCGCGGCCCTACCCGCCCCCTCCGCCCCCTCCCGCGGCGCCATGCGCAGACTCAGTTCCTGGAGAAAGATGGCGACGGCCGAGAAGCAGAAGCACGACGGGCGGGTGAAGATCGGCCACTACATCCTGGGGGACACGCTGGGCGTCGGCACCTTCGGCAAAGTGAAGGGTGAGGACGCCCGGGCCGGCGCGGACCCCGCGGACGGAGGGTGACCGTGCCTTTTCGCACTCCGCATCCTCCCCCGCGCCCGCCTTCCGGGCCTCTGGGCTCCGTATCCCCGGTCCCGGCGGCGCTGGGAGCCGAGCCCGAGGCCGCCGCGGGCTGCAGAGCGGTAGGGTCCGCTGCGGTGGGGTGGGGGCGGTCGCCTTGGCGACGGCGCGGCGCCCGAGGGGCGGGGATGTCTCTGGGTTCAACTTTCCCAGGCGAGGGAGTTGGTCACTGAGGCGCGCGGGGGCGCCTGGCGGGGACGAGGGGGTCTCACCTCGTTTCCTGCTCCCTTGTGCACCCTTGGTGCGTAGCTAGCCCATCGCGCCTTGCCGGTCCTCGGAGTTGTCGCTGCCTCGCTTTTTAAGGAGGTTGTCGGCTTAAGTGCTTGTCCGGTTTCTTGAGTCGAAATGTGTTCTCCCCTAAGTAAGGTAGCTGTGGCGAGATCTTTCAGAAATAAGAATAATAGTGATAACAGTCATGATGATGAAGACCTTGTAAGGACTACAGATCTCCATTAGGACACTTGATGGATATGCGTGTGAACTGGCGCTGTGTTTTCTGTGCATGGTTTACAGCTGAATTCAGACCCTGTGCTTTTAAGTGTTTTCATTTTCGGAAGTTTTGCGATTTCTGAGAGCCATACCTGGTAGGTAGGGCATACGTTACCTCCAGGTGGTATTTATTAGCCTATTGATATAGTTTCCGTTTATTGTCACAGTATATGTATATTAGTCATTTAGTGCACATCCTTTGGGCTCTGTGTTTGTTTTCGTAGAATTCCGTTACTGTGTTAGCAAAAGTACAAGCATTCTTGTCAACAATAAGCTTGCTGTCTAGCCCCCAGCTAGAAAAGGGGAATTCTGATGCAACCTTTGTGAGGTGGACTTTTTTTCCCCCCTTTAAAATATTTAAGCTCGCTATTAAGTATTTAGAGGAAGGAAGTTTGGAACTGATAAGAAACAATTCATGCATTGGTTTTGGAGAAATAATACACTATGACCTGCATATAGTAAACTTTTAGTAGGTAGTGATTGAAATAAAAAGTTCATGGAAACTTACACAGTGAGCCAACTGAGCTCTGTTCTCCCAGGAGGAACAGAAGAACCCTTCCTTCTCTTGCCCTTTCCTAGTCCTAAAACTTGGACGTTGCTGTGTAACGCCCAGGGGAGCAAATGCATGAACCTTAGGAAAATCAATTGCACCAATGTGGGAGAGGAGCAGGCAAAAGTGTAGGGCAGTAGCAAATCATGATGGGTTCATACTAGGCCGGTAAGGTGCTGTGTGCTCATACAGGTTTCTGCTTTGTTTTGATTTATTTATTTGGTTGTTTTTTGTCTGTCTGTCTGTCTGTCTATCTATCTATCTATCTATCTATCTATCTATCTATCTATCTATCTATCTATCTATCTATCATCTAGAGAGTGTTACAGTGCTGCCCAGGCTGGCTTTGAACTTGTCGTCCTCTATACATCAGCCTCCTAAGTAGTTGGTATTAGAGGCAGCCCTTGCAGGGTTCTGTTTACTTCTAGCCAGGCATGGTCCTTGTTAGCCGTTATAAGGTGCTTTTTTGTTTACAAGTGTTGATGAGAAATGCCCGTCAGTGCAGCGATAAGCCCGTCTTGGACTCACAGCGTTCCTTCTGGGGGTTCTGCTCAGAAGGTGGTGTCCGCAGGTCTCCTGACAGGCACCAGAGTGGGTCAGGCAGATAGGAAAGGAAGAGGTTGTTTTCAGCTTGGGGCTTTGACCTGTGAAGTGACGCGGATTTTCCCTGGAGTGACTCGGCTTTTCCTTAACCTTCACTTCTCCACCCACACAGTCTTCTCTTGAAATCCTATACTGTCAGTCATAAGCCTCCCCAAAGGGAGAGGGCCAGTATGAGTCAGAGGATCATAGCATCATGGTTATAATTAAACTTGTCCTTAAATCTGCTAGTTGATGTTGGCTTAATTATTCAACCAGTTCATTTTAAAACTGTTAGACAGTTGGGATTTTTTTTAATAGTAATAATAGAAACCATGATTTTTACTATGGTCCACTCCATAGCAAGGAATGGCCATGCGTCATTTGGTTTATGCATCCAGGGGAATAGCATGACCATGAGAGGCATGAGACCCGGGTTTGGATGTACGTGTGTTGGGAGCATCTTTATTTATTTATTTATTTATTTATTTATTTGAGTGCTTGGACACAGTATGTGGTTATATATGTTCTTGCTCTCGCTGGATGGACATCGACAAAGAATGAGTCTTTTTGGGTTGGAGGGAAAATGGGAGGCAGGGATGCTCAGTGAGCCAGCAAAATTAACTACCGTAGTGGTCACGTTGGTAATTAACCTCAATCTTAGTTTGCCAAGGATTCTCAGAGATAATAACATTAGCCATATATTGTAATTTCAACGCTTATGTATGTTGGTAAATTTAAAATAAGGTAATTTAACAGAAAGTATAATATTGATAGATAAATCTCCAGTGTGATATTCAGTGCCTCCAGGGAATTTAAATGGTTTGTTTGCCTCGTTTTTTGAGATAAGGGTCTCAATTTAGCCTAGGTTGCCCTCAGACTCACTAGGTAGCTGAGGGCAACCTTGGACTTTTGATCTTCCTGCACCCTCTTCCTCAGTGCGAGGACTACAGGGTGCACGTTACCCTGCCTGCTTTTATGGAGTCCTAAGGACTGAACGCTGGGCTTTGGACTTCGTGTGTGCTAGCCAAGTGCCCTACCAACTGGACCACTTCCCAGCCCTAGCAATGTAATTTTGTGACTAAATTGTTAGTGATTATCTTGTATCAAAGAAACACTAATTAAAATAATTGGGTTACTTAATGATGACATTTGGAGGGGAAAGGTTAAGCAGAAAATAGGGGTTGGGATTGGACTTGAATTATTGTTTCAAGGTTATTCCCCCTCCGTTTGTCAAAGTGTTGGTCTCTACTCCTTTGCATGTCACCTCCCACCTCCCATGGAACTGTTACAGAAGCATCGATGAAGAGAGTGTTTTTACTACAGTAAAATGGCAGTTTGTGAGAGGTTTTATGGGTGGGACGCATCTTCAGCAAGTCAGTTATTTCTGCAGATGATCTCTTAGGTTGGTGAGTCCTCCATTAAACCCTTATTTCAGGTCATAGATTCTCTTCTCTTTGAGTCATGAAAATGTCCTCAAGTTAAAAATTATCTATATATACACATAATATATATATAATATAGTATGTGTACATAAACTCCATGTATGTGAGGCATGACTGAATCTTTATACTATAAGGTTAGGGCTGAAGAGATGACTCAGGGTTCAGTTCCCAGCAGCACATTACAGATGGCTCATAATCATCTGTAATGAGATCTGATGCCCTCTTCTGGCTTGCAGGGTCACATGCAGGCAGAGCACTATACATAATAAACAAATACATCTAAAAAAACAAAAGAAGAAACTAAGGATAGGCCCCAAAGGCAAGTTGTAGAGATGTACGTGGTGGGACATGCTCGTAATCACAGTACTTGGGAGGCCAAGACAGGAAGGTTGTTATCTTGACAAGATACGGAGTTTGAGTCATACAGGGGCTAAGGAGATCCTGTTTCTAAAAAACAAAAACACAAGTTCGTGTTGTAGAAGAATATGTATAGTCTGATATTTATGTAGGTTAAGAAACATACAAAACAATGCTACAAAGTAATACCACCCATAGTGGCTGACAGTATGTATTCAGGTTAGCAGAGCAATTGAACTTGTGGGAATTTATTCTGTACGTGTGTGCATGTGCTTGGAGCATTGTGTTATTTGTTACAGAATGTGTAATATAGAAGTGTAGAATTAGCTGGGTGTGGCACACACCGTTAAACCCAGTGCTTGAGAGTTAGAGGAAGGAGAGAGAGAGATAGGAGTTGAAGGCTAGCCTCTTCTACATAACAAATTAAAGATCAGCCTCGGTTGCAAGAGATCTTGCCTCAAAAAAATGAACAACGGTTACAACAAAAAGTTTAGAAATGGGGCTCAGCAGTTAACAGCCCTGGCTGTTCTTCCAGAGGCCCTGAGTTCAATTCCTAGCACCCACATGGTTGCTCACAACCGTCTCTCTGTAATGAGATTTGACTTTCTCTTCTGGCCTGAAGGCACACAAGCAGGCAGAACACTGTATACATAATAAATAAATAAATACATCTTTTTTTTTTTGTTTGTTTTTTGTTTTTTGAGACAGGGTTTCTCTGTGGTTTTGGAGCCTGTCCTGGAACTAGCTCTTGTAGACCAGGCTGGTCTCGAACTCACAGAGAACTCCCTGCCTCTGCCTTCAGAGTGCTGGGATTAAAGGTGTGCGCCACCACGGCTCAGCTGGAACTAACTTTTCTAATAGGTAAATAATTAAATTATTTTCTCCATACATTTAAGGGAGAAGCAAGGAGTTCTGTGTAATTTAGAGAAGAGTTTACCAGATATGTTTTCAGAGCAGAAAGTAATGTTTATGTATAGAAAGCAGAGGCAAATATGCCGCTGTGCATTGCTTCTTCTCTCTGTGTGTAGTTTGTCCTGTGCAGATGTGCAGGAAACCCCTGTGCTCCTTGCTCCAGAGACAAGGTAGCCAAGGATGCGGTACTGTTGCACATCCTCTGTTCTTTCATGCGTGCTCCAAAGTCACTTTTAAATAAATAAAATTTATGAAAAAATGAGATGCTACTGTATTTTTATGGATTTATACTTACACAATAAAAATATGTGAGTGTGTGGGAGATGGACACCGAATTTAGAGTGGCTGTCACCTCGGGGAGAGATGAAAAGCTCTGGGCAGAATCCTCTGGGACTTCAAATGTGTCTGTAATGTATTTCTTAAGTGGCTGGTACCTGAGTATTTGGTATGACTCTGAAAAAATAACTTTACTTATTTATTTATTGTGTGTGTGTGTGTGTGTGTGTGTGTGTGTGTGCGCGCGCGCGCGCGTTTGGCACTTGTGTAGATGTTAGAGGAGAACATTTT